TGCACGATGCTCTGATTTGAAAGTGGCGTCCTGGTGCTCGGCTGTTCGGGCAACATAAGCTCGGCGAGGGTACAGGAAATGCCGTACAGCAGCGCCTCTGTCCTTGAAGATTATGCTGGACGTGGCGGACGTCACGGATGGATCGCATCACGTAACCTTGTTCTTTTCACACGGCTATACACCTTGTGTGAACCTGCAAGCAGGGTACCAGCATCTGCTCTCCGCAATCTCGCCACTTCGCTTGTGCAAGAGAGGGTGGCAAGGAAGAGACCTAAGCGAGCTTCATACCGAACTGAACAAGCGAATCAAACGCTCTCTGGAATTGACCTCGCCAAAAGTTCTTCCCGGGCTGAAGGACCGAAGGAACGGCGTTCAACTGTTGTTCTTTTACAGATTGCTCACGCGCCGAGCTCGCTTACCGGAAACGATTCTTGTTGTGCACCCGACACGCGGAAAGCCGGCAGACGTTGGCATTGTCCATGTGAGGATCGTCCATTGCGCCGTTCCTCTGAATGCGACCTTGACAGAAGGGGCCATCTTGACTTGGACGGCTGGCGATCCAAGTCTCTCCTGTTCGTAGGATGTACAGCCAGGTCGCTGTCGATACTTGGCAAGGGGGCTATCGGCAAGAAAGCCACAGAAACATAGCACACATAGCTCCAACTTTGGAGTGCTGCAATGTTCTTCAAAGCGAGCTGATCAAGAATACCAGTTCGGACAAGCCAAAACGAGACGAGCAGAGCCCGAGTTAGGCGAGCATGGGCTGACACAGCGCTGGTTCGCTAAGATCTGTTCCATCTCGTGCAAGATGCATCCTCTTCGTTCTTCGCTATTCGCGGGTGTACCTTCGTGAAGCTGATGCAAACCAGTCGACTTCTCAATCGAATCAAGTCGGGAGGTTGGTCTGAGTAGGTATGCAATTCCATCGGGATACTTGTTGTGAGGGAAGAGGTGAGGCAGCACACAGTGACGAGATATAGCATACTTTGTGCAGATCCGGTTGTTGCCTAGAGAGGAGAATCCATCGTTCTGCAAACAAGTTTCCGACTCCGCTCGACGAGGCTGCACCCTTGTGCAATCCATGTCAACCTAAAAACAGCCCAAGTCGCTGTGCAACCCTTGCGAAGTGAGTCGCTGGATAGAGGACACAACAAGCCCAAAGTGGTAGCCTTCTCTTTTGTTCGCATTTGACGCTCCGACTGAGAGAAAATTGTGGCACCGAAGCTGGGTTTGAGCAGATCAAGGGCCTCCCCCCCCCCCGCCCAAGAAGCATACCTTCATTCAACTCAGCGGCGGTCTCAGTAGCAGCAACAGGTTCTACAAGACTTGAGATCTTCGATCCCACAATCTGGCTGCTAAGTAATGATCCGGTTTGTTCGGCCTCTCTTTTTGTCGCTCCGCTTTGGCTTGTGCAGGTGAGGATGAAATATGCGTCATGTGTTGTCGCACTTCCACACTCAGCCAGATGCATTGCTGCGACCCCATATGAAGCTTTGTTGCATCCCCTCCATTCAAAATGTCTGTATTCTCAGGGTTTACATAACATAGGTCTGAGGCAGCGTCCAGATGCCGGCCTGGCAAGCCGGGCATGGGCGAAACTGGGATCGAGACATGGATCGCGGTCCGCTTCCTAGCGTGCGGCCTTGACTTGGTGTGAGGCATGGAAAGCCATACCCAGAGATGGTTTCCGTTGAAAAGCTGCTCTGGGCAATGCCGCTCAAGTGACCGAGCCCGTCCAGTATTGTCTGCCTCCTCCTGCCGGCTTATTTGTCAACAATGATGCCAAAAGAAGACCTTTGTTTTCTGGGCTGTAAGCGCGCTTGACATGTGGACGACTGGCATCCTATCTCCTAGTCCTGCTGGTCTTCACACTTGATGTATCGACTCAGATCATCTGGTCCGAAAGAAGCAACAGACCGGCTGAGTGTGCTGTATGCTGACTGTCGATCGGCCTTCTGCACCTACATGCATCCTGCAGGACCGAGCCCATCTGTGCTGATTCGTATATCGTGTCGACTAAACCTCTTCATGCCGCTCTTCTCCTTCCTTTCCGGTCTCGTGCACCAATCCAGCACTACGCTCCTTCGATCTCGCTCCCATCAACTTGCTTGTCATCTTTCCGGATTACACTTCCTCGCGTCTCACCATCACCCACGTTCCGACCCTCTTGCTTCCCTCTACGCCCAGACCGGTCGCTACCCAAGCGTCGCTTCCGCAGAACCCTTGATCTAACCACCTCTGTTCCTGTCCTAAACAGTGGGCCCCGTTAGCCTCGGAATCTTGATTCTGCAGGCAGAGAGACCAGCATTTTGGCTCGTCACTGCATTTCACTGACCACTGAACCGAGATCTCCGCAAGCGCTGCTCGCCTGTCGCTCCCATCTCACCTTTCCGCCGCAGCTCAGCAACATTAGACCAGGTCAGGACGCATCTTAGGCGCTTTGTGCCATTCGCAACAAGCGACTCGGCATACCTAAATATCTCCATCTGAAAGCTCACTTTTCCGTCCTCGACACAACTAGCTTGCTTTTGGCGACCATTCCTATCCGCTGTCCTGCCCCAAGGTGTAGCTCGTGCTATACCGTCTTTACCGGTCTGACCTCGTGTGGGCTCCTAGCTGTCAATATACTTGTACAGCTTTTCGCGACCATCGCACTATCCGACCACAGCTAAATCACTCTACCTTCCACGCCAGAGTTCCGCTCGTCGCCAACACCACAGCCATCCCTTGATAAGCACACACTCGCGCAACAGGTCGGATCTCATCCCAAGCTTCTGCATTAGCACAGTCCGACTGAAGGTCAACAGGTCAGAAGATACTCTGTTGTTCGCATTCATGGGTTCGGGCTGACAGTGGTTATCGTCGTCGTCCGCGTTGGATCTCCCTGTCTCCATCACGTCGAGCCTAGCAGCGATCATTTGCTTTGCGAGCTTCTGTTTCGCTTTCCATCAGACACAATCTGCGCACCAATCATCTAGAGGCGAGAACCACCTCAGCCGAACGCAACTACACACCGCATTCGTATATTCTCTGAGCGGGCGCAGATGAGTCCGCTCACATAGCAATCAGGCTTCGTACTCCCTCTCACGCTAAATAATCCCAACATCTTGTCACAGAAGTTCTTCAAATGTCAGCTACCTCTCTTCTTATTTCTCACAAGCTGGAAGACCTCTCATAGCGACATTTGCCTTGTCCTCCTTTTCACGTCTCTGAACGCTTACGAAATCATGGACGATCGTCATAGGCAGGCCAAGGTCAGGCTGCCTCCCCTCTCTTCTCTCACCACCTCCATCGACATGGATCGCAGGCATGAAAGACCATCCGGTCGCCGGGATAGCCTTATCGACCGAAGCGATGCCATGCGTTTGCACGACCCGCCGATGTCCTCGTCATCGTTTAGGGATGGATCTAGAGCACTTTCGGTCTCCAACGATCGCCGCTGGTCCATGGATCGCAGTGTTGCCAGACATCCACCGGAAAGCATAGCAACGTTTCCACCTGTGCAACACAGCGTTCCAGCAGCGTCAAATCTGTCGATCTCGCCAATGTTGCGTCGGACGGCTATGCGTTCTGTTGTCGAGTCGACTAGGCCGCGTTCCTACTCGTCGCCTCACAGGTATCCTATGCCCCATCCGACAAGAAGGTCCTCCCTTGCCGATACTTCGGAGATCGATCGCTTGCTTGAAAGCCTCATCTACGTCCAGGACACCAATCGGCGGCTTGGTCTCCATACCGGATGTCCAGCATCGCCATCCATCTTTCGTAATCCCGGTGCCGCCGACTTGCTTCGCAGAAAGATCCAGGAAGAGCTCAGCACCATGGCGCGCTTTTCTCACGCTCGCGCTGAATCCGTTGCAAGACTTCTAGGCATAACTGCTGACGACAATCCGGCGAGAGCACCCGAATCTTCGTCATTTGCACCACGCAGTTCAACCTCTTCAACACTCTCTTCGGGCCAAGCGGGGCCGCCAAGCGACTATGCCGAGAGAGCACAGTCTTCAATGGGAAGGTTGAGTCTGGAAGAGCCGCGCCCTTCCGAGTACGAATACGACTCGTATAGCGAGGCGATGGAGACAAACTACGAAACAGATCAAGGTGGCTTCACTCCTGGTATACCCAGTGCTTATGCTATGAATCCGACACGGGGCGAGCCTCGGTTCCGCGCTCTTTCTCGTGCTACCTCATTCGAGCATCCTCGATCTGTCCACCAAGATCAACAACACCCTCATCACTACCAGCGCACTACCACGGAGTTTCCACGTTTCGGTAGCAGCACAAGAACGCCTTATGACCAACCAATGCAACCTTCGTACGGATCCGGCGGTCTACCGCCTTTCTGTCATCCAGACAGTCGACAACAACAACAACAGATGGATCTGCTCGATCGAAGACGTTTTGCTGGTAAAGGGATGAAAAGAGTCAGGAAGCGCAAGGACGAACACCATCAGGAGTGCCTCGGTTGCCAAGCCAAGGAAACTCCAGAGTGGCGGAAAGGTCCCATGGGTCCTCGGACACTCTGCAACGCCTGTGGTCTGCTCTATGCCAAATTGACAAAGCGCAAGCTACAAGAGGCTGAAGCTGCTGCCAAAGCTTCTGGCAAGAGTCCGGAGGAGATCGTACGGGAGCGGGAGGAGTCTCCAGGCGCTAAGCAAGCTAGTCTGGAGGCTTTGCGGGCTGAGCTGAACGTAGCCAGCGGGATGAGGAACCGAGTCGGATCTTCCACAGCTCCAGCAGCTGGAACTCCGATCGGTGATGGCAATCCTGCAACGTCGCACCCCCTACAGAGTCACCCTGACGAGGCTCATCAGCAACGAAGACATCATCCCTACATGTAATTGTATCCTACTTTCATGTTATGCATCAGCAATGAATCGCCATGGAATTGACAGCAATGTCATGAGACGGGATGCAATTGCAAGACGCCACTGAGCTTCGGGTTTTGGAATAATTTTTTGTGTATAGAATATGAGCACGAAAGGAAACCCAGGCCATATATGTTGGGTGTCTTGCCCGAGTGGTTAAGGGGTTAGTCTTGAAAACCAATCGTTTTAAGGCGTTTATCACGCTGGATAACTAATGCTCTCTGAGCGCACAAGTTCAAATCTTGTAGGCACCGTGAACTATTTTTTTGCACTTTTAAAGCAAGAAGACACAGTATGAAGGAATGGCCGAGATATGGTGTTCTGAACGCAATCTTGTGTAACGTTGATCGTGTAGGAGGGCTGTGCCTGTATGGACTCGTATCAGGTCGAAGACCTCGGCGTGTCTGATCACCTTATCAGGGAAAGATAAGGGCCAAGAGGAGATGAGGGCTTGAGCTCTATCGCTGCAAGCCCTCTTACACTGCTTCGTTATGTTTCAGACTCATCTTTCGCCTCAAGATGCTACTGAATCATCCACAGGGTAAGACGTATAGAAGCACCAGATTCAGCTAGTTCGTTCTCCGTTAAGCATCTATCCATCTGTATATACAGTTCATCGTCGACATACGTAATAATTGTGTCCTACGATTCAAGTCTGCCACTCGTTCCAACAGATCGCGTCGTTAAATTCGCAATAGTTTTATGCGACACCTGATCAGCATCGGGACGACCCTCGATTTTCCTCCACATCAGCCACGAACTCAGCCTCACGGTGAGAGGGTTGACAACGAGCTTCGTGGCTGCTTCGGCGGCCACCATCATGGTACACCTTCGACTCAACCACCCCGATACATCTCGTAATAGGTATATCAACTATATAACCGCTCTACCTCAGTATGCGGACTGCGAGCAGGCACGACATAGGCTGCTGCAGCTGGCAGCTCAAGTCCAGCCTGTCATGAAGAAGCACGGCTTCCAGATCAACTCTCTCGAAGAATTCGAATCGAACCGCGAGTTCGCTGGACGCAACTGGAACAATGGCGAAACCGTTGAGCTCGTGCTCAGACGTCAAGACGGAAGCTTCGCACCTCTACAATGGGTCTTGATGGTGTTCTGCCACGAGCTGGCCCACATCAAGTACATGAATCACATCCCCTCACAGCACGGAAAGCTTGACATAGAGCTACGGAATGAATGCCGCGAGCTTCAGAGTCGGGGCTACTACGGCGATGGATTCTGGTCCGCGGGTCAACGTCTGGAGGACAATGCTTTTGTCGCTGGCACTGGCATGAACTCGCTGCAAGGTCTGCCAGAGTACTCTTGCGGCGGTGCCTTCAAGAGCAAGCCGAGCAAAAGCCGGTCGAGGAAACAACGTCGTACGGCTGCAAGCCGCTCTCGCAAGAGAGGCTTCCGAGGACCAAGTCTACACACTGGAGCTCAGACAGCGCCCAACACGAGGGGGGCCAGGCGTGTGCAGACCACGCTCCCAGGTCAAGGCTCAAGGCTCGATGGCAACGATCATTTGCCGAAGGCTACAGCCTTCAACTCGTCCTACAAAGAAGACAGCAATTCGACCTTCCGAAAGCGTACCCAGACAGCAACAGCTCGCCGACTCCGAGCTCAAGCGGCTATACGGCGTTTCAACGCTGTCAAAGTTGAAGCAGTACAGAACGAAGCCGGCGAAGGACAGACTGCTTCTTGGCCGGAAAAATGGGACGATAGACAAGCGGGCTCTGGAAGCTCCACACCGACTTCCGAGGGTACAGAAAAGCTCAAAGAAGAGGACCTGATGGAGTCCGAAAGCGAGGCGGAAGACGAAGAAGACAGCAAGGTTGGCGGATTTGTCATTCGACTCGATGACTCGTCAGCAGACGAGGCCGAAAGGAAAGAGAGCTCAGGACTTTCACGGTCTAATAGCAACACAAAGCATAACGATTTCGTCAAGGTCAAAGAGAAGAAAGATCCGCAAGAGCCATCCACCATCGCCAGTCGAGAAAGTGAGCAGCAGCGACTTGACCGATCACAGTTGTATCGGCAACACGAACTCAAGCAAGGCGGCAGGATGCACTCTACTAACGAAGATTGGCAAGATTTCTGCTCGATTGCTACCCTCCCGGGCACCAGCTCAACAGTACAAGGCCTCAAACCTCCTGCAGGCAAGTCGGTGTACAGCTCGAGGACTGAGCCGATCGAGGTACTCTCATCTGATGAAGAAGACACGCCAGCACGAGCGCCGCAACCGAAACCACCATCACGGCCATCGCCATCTGCATCTCCTGCACAGGAATGGTCCTGTCAAGTGTGCACGCTCCGCAACCCTGCAAGTACATTGCGTTGCGATGCTTGTCTCACGACAAAGGGGTCGTCCGTAGTCGGTCAGTGAAGGAATTTCTGTTCCACTTAGATACCCCGCTCTATAGACAGCATAGAACAACATCATGATCGTATTTTTACTTTGCAGATAGAAATATTAATGATGATGATGCGAATGTATGCTCCTGGTATCGCCACCCGTGGTGGCTACTAAACGAGAAAGGCTCGGGAGCCTCTGGGCTTCAATGATGTTGTACTGTACGTGAGTATTACTCGTTGAAGCGATCTGACAGCTGATTCGCAATGACCTGGCTTGGTAGCCTCGACAAGTATGCGGTGAAAGCGTTGCGGTCGGTCTTGTCCTGTATCTTGGGCACGAATCGCATCGACTCTTGGACGTGATTCTGTTCAACAAGTTTGACGATGAAAGGCGTGTAACCGATTGGCGATCGCTTCGAATTGGCTGTGATGACGAGAGAAGGAGAGCCGAAAGAATCAGCGTTCTTTTCAATTTGAACAGAAGGCGAGGTCTGGAGTTCAACTTACCGAAGGTCCACAACCCGTCCCAGTCCTTGCTTTGGATGAGGGTGTCCAGCTTGATGTTCCAGTATCGCTTGTCTGGCACTTTGAAGTCGGACCGTAGCTTTTCTGCCTTCTTTGACATGTTGCGGAAGAGAAGTTGACGGATCGTCTCATTTAATGACAAACCAGTGTACTGGCTGCGATGTCCATCTTCTTTTTCGAGCGCTTGCTGGAACGCCAGCAAACGAATCTGTTCGTCCACGAGCTGCAAGCATCACAGATCCAAGGCAGACAGAATGTATCAATATGGTTAGCACCACGCTTCTTTCGATTCTGGATCCAAACTCAGAACATACCTTGGCCTCGAGAACCCTCTCTTTATCTTCTCCAAAAAACTTCATCGCAGTCTTGAGCTTGAAGATCTTGTCTGGCAGCTCGCTTTCGGAGACGTTCTGCATCGCGTTGGCTTCCTCGAGGGCGAGGATGGCCGAGTCGGTTCTTCGGTCATCCTGGTAGTAGAAGTCCTTCAGCAGGTCACGGTCCACCTCTTTGGCATATGCTTCGAGCAAGTTGGATGCCAACGAGAGGTATTGGCGTGCAGAAGCCAACTTGACTGTGGATCGCGAGCGGTTATTACTCGTCTGTCCCGGAGGTGGTAGCATCGCATCGGAAACGGGCGCTTGAACGATTCGGAAGAAGTCACCACGGGACAGCTGGCTTTTGAGGCGTAGCAAGACATGATAGATCAGGTCGGTGTCTCCGGACTCGATCGCTTTGACAAGAGCGAGCTTGTCCTCGCGCATGTTGAGCAGCAACGGTACTTGGTCGATGGCACGAGCCTCGTGATCGAGTAAGCGGGTGGCAAGATTTCCTCTTCCTGCCTTCCAAGCAGTCCAGGCAACTTCAGCGAAACTCACAGATGCGCCGCGGTTTCGGGACGAAGGGCTCGTCCCATTGGAGGATGCAGCAGGTTCCGTTGCCGACAGAGACTGGCCAGGTGGAACGTGATCATCTTCGGGAGCACCGAGCTCGCCAACATGCTCGTTGAGGGTTGTCGCAATGCGAAACTTGTGCACGATATCTTCACACAATTGTTCCTCAGCGGCCGAGATGGCTGACGATGAACCGCCGAGTGGAGGCCTCGTCCTTGCGATTTTGGCTCTGGCCCAATGCTTGAGGATCGGATCGGGCCTGATATGAAGGAAGCGAGCGATCTTGAGCGACAGGAAGTGATGATTGTGAGCCGTGAGCCGTGAGAGCAGTGCTGTTGGTCCTGCAGCGATGTACTGCTCGTATGATATAGGCAAGCCGATCTGATAATTGCGCGCTGCATTCAGCACACGCAGCGTCCGAGCCATGTCCACGAAGGCGGTTGAATCGTACAACTCGATGAAGCTCTTGCCGAAGGATGCAGCTTTCAAGAGACGCTTCTGCCAAGAGAGGTCCCACTCATAGGCGGCGGCTCGAAGACAACAATCAACTGCATCCGGCAAGCTGCTCCTGATGGCACGTATCCCCTCGTCTGCCCTGCTGCTCTTTGCACTAAACTGTTCAGCTGCTTCAAAGAGCAAAGCCGCCGGATCGTTGGAGCCAGGCCGGAAGACACGGCTGGACGCGTCGGAGACCTTTTGAAGGAACTCGTGTCTATCTGCGGCGACGATACGAAGACCATCAATTTCGCTGACCAGATGAGTTGGGCCGGAGTAAGGATAGCGGATTGATTCACCAAAAGGACCGACCATGACTACCTCGTCGTTGAATGCCAGAGCGATGGTATTGTTACCACACCACTGAACAGCGCGAACACCACTACCTCCAATGCCTCCCTTGCTTGCGCCGGTCTCTGCGGATGTGCTCCCAACGTTCATAGAGCGGAATGGATCGTCGACGGTGGAAGCATCTTGATACGCTTCACTGGCACGAATTTCGAATTCACTGAGACTGCGAGAGAAATCGGAGCTGACGACCCAGAGGACAAGGTCGGCGGTCATGAGAGCCAGAAGCTTGCCGTTAGGTGAAGGGCGGACAACATGGAAGGGACCGCGAGAGAGGCGCATGTCCTGACATGCGGTCTCGATGGAAGAAGGGCCTGCGGCTGAGCGGGTGAGTGAGAGCAGGGTCTGCCCTTTTGCGATGAGCACTGTTGTGAGGCCTGACTGTGAGACGTTGGGTGGAACGATGGCCCAGGAAGTCGGCTGGGTGGAGTGTCGAGTTGACTGCGACTGAGACTGCGCTTGGTCGAAAGGTGGTAAGAGCTCTGGAGTTGGTGGAGGAGCTGTATCGTTGTCGAAAGAAGGAAGTGCATATCCATATTCCCCTCCCCCACTGAGACTGATTGCACCAGCATACTCTCCAGCTTCGGGGTCCAGATGCAATCCGGGGAAGCGCCATTCCACAAAACGCCTTGCTCCAACGTAAG